TATCCCAAGAAAGAAGCCTGGGCAATGGCTGTTTTGTTATATCCTAATGTTATTTCATCATTTACAAAATGTGAGACTCAGGACCATTACAGTCTGACATTTGGAAAAGACACTTGTCTATTGTTGAAGAATGCATGTTGTCTTCTAGACAATTTTGTTTTGTTTTTGTTTTGTTGGGTTGCTGTCTCATTTATGTATACGCAATGTCTCCTCTTATTCAATAAAAATATATGTCACTAAAGTCTTAAAGAAACAATAAATTGTATCAATCATATGACAGCTTATATCATATATATGTGTGACCATGACCAACTTAAAAATTGCAAGTTTTCATTTCATTTAAAAAATAAAATAGCGATGAAAATAAAAAAAATTCTACCTTTTAATAGCATCAGTAACAATTCATAAGAGGTAACAAGTTATCTACAATTATTATCACAGTAAATAGCACTAAAGGAGTTCAAAGTTCATTTGAATCTATAAATTGTCATTCTTATTGTTTATAACACTGCAAGGGTACGTAAATCAGTTGTACCATTCTTCTTTTTAAAACTTTCTCTCAATTTTAAAAGTTTTTTGACAACAGAATTTTTCCTTTCAACACAAACTTTTTCATTGTTGGAAGTGACAACAGGTTTCTTGAATATTATATCATCTGCACCACCTTTTGTTCTACAGCTCTGCATATTGACTCTTGTGCTACTACGAGGAATTGATTTGGTTGAATTGTACAGTGGGTTTTCTAAGCACAAACCATCAGCATATATTTCATTCTTGTGTGTGGATTTCCCTGTTATCATAGATATTCCTTTAATAGTCTCATTTGGAAGTAGATTTGGTCTGGAAGCCATCTTGAGAGACCTGACAGTGACCTTTGACATCTGTCTAGATGAATGGGATGGCCTGTTTGACCTTTTCTTCACAGTTCTCAAGTAAGATTCCTCTAAAGGCACATCAGTTGAGGAATGTTGAAGAGACCATGTAAACACACTTTCAGTATTGGTATTTGTAACAGTTGTTTCCTTTTTGTTCGATACACTTGCTGAAATTGGCTTTATCTGGATATCTTTAATCTTGACAACGGGTGAAAAAGATTGCTTTCCTTTTCTCTCGGGAAACGGTTTGTACAGCAATGTTGATGAAGCTTTTGGAATAGACACTCCTCTGCATATTGGTTTACATCTCTTTGGAACAGTTGGTTCTTCAATCATGGTGGAAGAGGCCAAAGGATTTGACCCTTGACCCATGGATGATCCAAATGATTTTTTCTTCTCTTGGTTTCCATTAACAAAATTCCCAGCAATAAACGAAGTAGAAAACTGTAATGAATCGTCTAGATTGTAAACATCTTCATCCTCACATCCTTCCACCTCCCTCTCAAAAAAGACAGTTTCATCCTCATCATCAGATAGCTCAGTATCAGTAGACATTGGAGAGTGTTCTGCATCACTGCATCCATCAGACTGAAGCTGGTCTCTATATGATGTGGAGTCATTTAAAGTGTTGATAAGCAGGCATTTCTGGATGTCTAAATCTGTTAATCCATTAGGTGTCAGCATAAAAGTTGGGGTCATGGGGTCAACTGCTACAACATTTTTATTTGGTGTTTCAGGAAACTGTGATTGGTTTATTCCAGCAGTGGACAGGATATCTTTGAATTGTTGTCGTAACTCTTCAAAATCTGTTAAGAATTCCTGTTCTTGTCTTTTGATAGCAAGCTGAATAAGTATAAAAAAGAAAAATTTAAAATTTATTGAAATTATGAATTTCATATGGCTATATTTGATATATATTTAACTGATTGTTTAAAACAGAAAATTTTTAGGTCATGTTTTGATTTAATTCCAAGTCTTATAATACAAATTTTACATTAAAGAAATCTTTAAAAAGAAATAAAAAAAATCCATTATATAACTTACCATATTGGCTTCTAACATCTGATAATGTTCATTTTGGAAGTTGTTCTGCACATCTGCATCTTTCAAAGTCCAATCTTAAAAGAAAAGAAGATAATATATAATATAAAACATTCAGGTTTAAAAAAAAAGTTAAATAAATTCAAAATGTTCTGCTATTCTCTGCCTGGTGAATTATCAAAATTATGAAAATTGTAATTAATTTATTTCAAAATGAATTTGAAAGAAAATCTATCATCATTCTTGTCAATAAAGAACGAAAACAACAATACAATGAACAACTGCTATTAAAGTCAGAAATAAAACTCACCATTTAAATCATTTAAGTACTTCATGATTATATCTTCTACTGCTTTTAAACTTCTTCAGAAATAAAAATCTTTAATTGTAGGTAGTAAATATGTAAAACTTGTAGATTATCAGATAAAGAGATAAAATTGCAATTGATGACAAATGTAGATTTAAGATAACATTTATACCTAGGCTATACAACTGTGTGAAAATTACTTACAAGTAATTATTACACATTACAAATTAATTAGTACTTAATGCAGTCATCAAGTACTTGTTAATTGTATTTCTTTGGGTTAAATTAACAAGTACTTAATTTAATGAATCAAGTACTTGTCATTTGTACCTTAGGCCAAATGTTATTAAATTTTCTGTTAATTAATAATTCTGCTGGTGTTGATTAGCTATAATAAAGTTGTAATAATTTTTTTGACAGAATATAACTATTATGTAATTAAATGGTTAATTAATAAACATGTTTTATCAATTGTAATTGTTTAAATGCAAATATCACCATATGAATTACAAGAACTGAAAATGTATTGTATTTCAGTGATTCATTTATTTCCACTCTTTCAGAATGATCTTGTAAAAAACATTAACTACATGTACCTATCAATTTTTGGGAAAATATTTGTATTTTACTCATCATTACAATTGTCCGTCTTTTATTGCATAACTGACATAACGGATAGAAAAAAATTGAAGTTCAGTATGGCTATAATCCTACTCAAAATGCATGAAAGTAAAATTAATCAAGGACTCAACCTTTTAATGAAACTATGCAATTTTCTGAAATTATGAAATATTTCAGTTACCAAAAATTGAAATTTACAAAATAGCAGAAAATTAAACACTGATTCCGCACAGTCAAACCTAAATTGTCAATTATCCAGTAATTGTCTATGGTAATTTCAAAATTAATTGAAAGGTAGGCCAACAGCAGATATGTGCATATATTTTAATAAAGATATGTAGACTTTCAAATTATGAAAAATATATCAAAATACACATGTTTATATTTGAATGCCCCGCCATCACCGAAGGGGGGCATTAAGTACTACCCTAGTCTGTCTGTACCTCCGTACATAAGTCCCAAAATTGGTTTCCGTTCTCTAACTTTAGTTTGCCTCAACCAAATGTTATGAAACTTACACACAATGTGTATTACCACAAAACACAGACCGAGTTCGAATTTGGGTGGTGTCACTTCTACGGTTCAGGAGTTATGCCCTTTATATATGGAAAAATTGCTGAATTTTTCGTTTCCGTTCTCCAACTTTAGTTTGCCTCAACCAAATGTTATAAAACTTATACACAATGCTCATTACCACAAAACTCAAATCAAGTTCAAATTTGGGTGGCGTCACTTTTACCGTTCTCGAGCTATGCCTTTTTATAACTTCATATGCAAGAGGGGGCATCATCTGTGTCCCATGGACACATTCTCCATTTATTTTATTTAATGTTATGTGTCATCAAATTTTAAATACTGGTATGTCAATTCATATATTTAGTTTATAGTATTAAATAGTTTATATCATTGTGTGCATAAAGAACAAGGTAGAAGTAAGTTAAGTGAATTCTCTTAAAATCTTTTTTATAATATCACCTATGTTTGACTGCCTTACTTAAAGGAAACTTAATACAAATGTACATATAAACCTTTGCAATACACCACAAATAAAACTGCAGAGTTATACTTGATTGCACTTGTTGAAAGCACAATTCTTTTTAACTTTCCGAAATTAAATTTTAATGCACTTAATTAATTGCATCAGCATTTTGTTTGTTATTTTCACCTGGTAAACACTGAATATTTACAGCTTTTTATTGTTGTTTTCACAATCGGTGAAATTTTCATAATTGAGCTAAACAAACCTTTTTTTCATATCACAAACTGTTATATTGTGATGTCAAATTTAATGTTCTGCTCAACTTTTGACTTCTTGAGAAAAAAATAATAGGAATAACAAGTACCTGTGAGGATGTTTAAAAAGGAACTGACTGTATACATTTAAAACTTTTGCTTATTTATCCTAAAATGCTTGCACAACTTTAAAATTATTCAAACTTCCATATTTTGACTTAAATAATTTATCGTCTATTCAATTTATTTTGTTCGGTATTTAGTGTAGTATCTAAGATACATAGGAAATTAAACAACAACAAAAAAGGAGACTACACCCAAATGCAATGAATCCCCTTTGGAACACACCTCTGAACACATTGGATAAAGATTCCCCTGTACCTCCACCTTTTCAATAGGGCCAAAAGAAAGGTCAATAATATTAAAACTCCTATAGTATCTATAACCATTCATTAAACAATTACATGCCCCAAAAATCAGTTCAAACCTGCTATGAACTCTAGCATCTGTCTTGTTATTATTAAAATAAATAGCTAAATTTTTTACCAAAAAAGCCATAAAACCATGTGATCTAGGGTATCAACAACCAATTTGAAACTACATGCACCACTGAAAAGAACATCTTAATGTAGTTCCAATTGACAAAGTGGCTTCAGAGAAGACGATTTTTTCCAAGTGAATGGCTGATAGAAGGTAGAAGAACAAAAGATGACAATCTCTAAGTGAAGGAAATAGCTATCAATACCCTTTGGATTAGATAAGCTGAAATTTAAAACATATTTGGTATCTCAATGAATCATATATGTAACCAAGCTTTCGTTAAAGAATTGGAGAGTTGGAGTTTAGGCCTCAAATGATATAAATGATAATTGACTGCAGATGAAGGACATAATGACAGTTGAGATATTGGATAAGAACTTTACCTCTAATATATCCATTCTCTGTCTAAGATTATAGTTTCTGTCATAGAACTCTGCTGTCAGATAGTCAGCAACCTGAAAACAAAATATAAAAAATCAAAGAATATCTCCATCTTATATATTAATTTCAATGTAACTAATTTTAATGAACCATGGGTATATGAGAAAGCAAAAAATAGTAAGGAGCTTGAAGGTTGAACAGAAATTATTCATAAAATACAAATTTGTCTTTCTAAGAAGTTAAAATAATGGTATAACATGAATCTGCTGGCTGTTTGTTTCCAAAATCATATTCTTGCAAAGGGACTGACTTTTTCACTAATTGGTGCAAATTAAGAAATATGAGCTGTAAACTTGCACTGAATCAGTGAAAAAGACCACATAATTCCTGTTTTATGTATAAATCAATCAAGCTTTGCATAGCTTAGCATATATTGTTAAATTTTAAATTCAAATATGCTGTAAATTTAGAAATTATTGAGATTTTTTAAGAATGGACAACAATGCAAGATTAAATATTGCGATTTCAGGAAAATTTGCATACAGATATATGTATCAGAATGCAATTTCTTATTATTGCAATATGCACCCAGTAACATTATTTACATTAATAAAAACCTTGCTATAATTTCTAATATAAATACAACATCTTAATTTTCAGGAACTCTACCATAACCTTAAGTTCTGGTGTAACAACAATGAGAGAGGGAGTAAGAGGGGTAAATTTATGGAACCTAATTTTACCAGTATGAGAACACTGACTGTAAGTTTGAATCTTTTAACCCAATGACGACAGGAGAGGGACCAGATACTTTTTTACCTATGCATGTTAGCAGCTGGGTGAAGCTGCTATATAAACTTTAAAAGTCAGTTTGGCATATCCTGATGTGAAACAGTGGAGTTAATTCATGGGGTACAATGTTACCTGTATTGGAACACAGACTGTAAGTGACACCATAGCTTTAAATCTCTGTTGTGTATATCCAGGTATAGCATACTTATCTCCCAAGTGTAACAGAACTTTTGTAAATTCAGTAGCTATCTGTAAAACATATAGTTTGGTCTTATATTTCCTTTTTGAATTTCTATTAATATGATAAGATTACGAATAATTATAGAATATTCATTCAAACAAACAATAACAAAAATGTCATAACATAATGCCAGAAATTACACCATAACAGAATGCCAGGAATAACACCATAGCAGAATGCCAGAAATGACACATAACAGAATGCCAGGAATGACACCATAACAGAATGCCAGAAATGACACTATAACATAATGCCAGAAATGACACCATAAAAAATGCCAGGAATGACACCATAATAGAATGCCAGGAATGACACCATAATAGAATACCAGGAATGGCACCATAACAGAATGCCAGGAATGGCACATAACTGAATGCCAGGAATTACACCACAACAAAATGTCAGGAATGACACCATAACAGAATGCCAGGAATGACACCATAACAGAATGTCAGGAATAACACCATAACAGAATGCCAGGAAAGGCACCATAATAGAATGCCAGGAATTACACCACAACAAAATGTCAGGAATGACACCATAACAGAATGCCAGGAATGACACCATAACAGAATGCCAATGCAAGGAATGACACCATATCAGAATGCCAGGAATGAACCTCAGATGGAAGAAAAACAATGTTTCTTTTCCATCTTTTTGTTTTAATGATATCGTCTTCATATTTGTAACTTCCTGTGATTGAAGCCATTAATAATCAGATAGGAATATGAGAATTCCAATGTTATTTCGAATTGTATTTTAATGGATAGTTACTGTTTATTTCTTTATTGTTTCCTTCTTTCTTGAAAACACTTTATGCTTGAAATTACTATATTCTATCACAATTTCCTCAACAATGATCTGCTATTTTTCCATAAAAATCCACTTTTTGCTATTACAACTGTTTTCTTAACTAACTGACAAATATTATGGCCAATGCTACACAACCAGAAATATTTTAGTTCTTTGGACGGGCAATATGATTTTGTTACGGTAAAAAAAGCTTAACAAGACGTTTTTCCTTCAAACAAACTGCTTTCTCTATTGTAAGGTTTTCATTTCCATAAAACCAAGGAGATGGTTGTTAAATAATAAGCCTATTAAAAGTGCTCTTGTAAACATTTCATTGGCAAAGTGTAAACAAGTTAGTAAAAAGTTAAATAGATAATCACTATTTTGTTCAGTGTTAATTGCAATACAACTTGTTTTTCATTCTAGAGAGTTCAAAACCTATATACTTGTGAATTTTAATGATATTTTGTACCTCCTCTAAGCCGTCTGGATGTTTCCTGATCAACCCCTCAGCGCACTTGAGACATATCTCTGTTCTCTCTGGTTCATCATTAGATATCAGCCCTAGAAAAAAAACAAAAAAAATGCTCATGTGTTGAAATTCCAAAAGGGAACATACTTGACCATACACTTGTGTAGTACATACCATTTTTAAGACATTTCAACCACTGGCCTTCTTCAGTTCTTCTGTTTTCTTTTAAACTTCATGGTAGACCAGTCCCCTTTCACAAAGCAGTTTTACCATAATCAAGTTTGTTAAAACATAGGCAATTTAAGTTCTCACTTTTTTGCAAAAAGGTCTACTGTCCCAAATAAATTATCAAAATTTAAATTAAACAACAATGACAGTGTTGTTCCTTTTGTATTTTATTTGTTTTGCAATATCATTCAGAATTTTGTATCATATGTAGTTATCTTTACCCTAAATAATCTCTACTCTTTCAGAATATGTTTTTGCTGTATTGCCATCAAAAAAATTAAATACAAAATTTACAATTTGTAACATCAATAATCAAAACATGGAAGTGCTGGAAAGGCAGTTTCTGTATAATCAAAGTTTTTATGAATTCCAGTTTTTTCTCTTAATTTCATAGGTGAATTCATCAGTTGTGTATAAAATACTACAGATTACTCCCAGAATAAAAATTCATATGGAAGAAATTTTCTGTTTATTTACATAATTGATGAAAAAGAATTATGTTTTTTTCAAGTAGTAAGTTAGCTTTCATTTAAACATGTTAGAATAGATATACTTGTTTTAAGGAGAGACCACTCTAGAAATTTCCTGTTTTTATAGTAGAGAAAATTGGATAAAGGTGAATGTACCCTGAAGTGCTACTTTTTCCAAAGACAAGGTAAAAAATCTTTTAGATTCATACATTCTTTTGACTATTTGAAAAATGTATGCAGTATGCTCACATGGGTTTACATTGTCATACATTGCATCACCTAATTTTGTTTTTTTTCATGTTTGGAGAGGTCACATTTATCATTTTCTTATGCCATGAGAATGAGGTAAATGTTAGGTGAACCGTGACAGATGAACATGTACACCTTACTATCATACCATACACAAAATACAGTTGACCTATTGTTTATTGTATCTGAAAAACAGACCTGATAAAGTAAACTTAACCTTGATCACTGATCAATAAAATGAAGTCGAGTTTAGGTGAACCTTGTCTGGCAGACATGAAAACCTTGCAAGGATCCCTTATACCAAATATTATATTTTGCCATTTACTATTATTTAGTGAGAAACTATACATTATTTTTTCAGCAGTTGCTGAACCATGAAATTGAGGTCAAAGACAATGGACATTTGACAAAGGAAACTTCCTAACATAAGGAATCTGATACAAAGTATGAAGCATCAAGGTCTTCTACCTTTTTAAATAAAAAGCTTTATACAAATAGTTATGCCCTTGCCACCACTGCCGGATTAGCTTCCCTATTTCTCAAATTCTGGAACTTGTATTGTTTTTTGCAAAAGAGGTGGTTTGGTTAGACTGATATTAACAGATTGGTTCCTATTAACTTTGTTACTTTATTGGGAAAGAACAATAAAATGTTTTTCATACCTTCCATACAATCTCTAATATATTTTGGTTCTTTGACCTGTGTAACTTTTACATCATTTGACATATCATATGGCACTAAATCATCATCACTACAAATATAGCTAATTTAATATAAATCACAAGTAATTTTTGTTATATCAAAGTTATAATTAATTGTGTTTAAATTACCTTGAAATTCAAGAATAAATACTATTACCAAGTAAATAGCATTGCAATCATTCTATATACAATTGTATACTTATGTTTGAAGGAGATCAATAGCCAACTGTATATTGTTACAAACTGTATAGATTTATGAATACTTAATTTCTCTTGAAAGGATGTGAATTATTGTGAAATACTTGTAAACCTAATCATTTATTAATATATATAATACAAATTGTAACCATATTAGAGCCATCTAGAGTTTTAACATTTTGTATATCCAATTATCTTTTGTTGAAGACCTTATGGTGACCTCTAGCTGCCTTTTGGTTTTATGTATCATTGGGTTGTTGTGTCATTGATGTGTGTCCCACATCTACTTTTATTTATATTATGTTTTTCTAGTTATCATATAAATTATTAATAAAAAGAATGAAAGGAGGTTGAAACAAAACAAAATACTGAAACTATAATCTCTAATGTAGTAGATACAGATGATAACTTTCAGCTATCTTCATTTGCTATTTCCCACAACCATACCAGATTAACAATTATTTAGTTCATACACCTGTCTTCTGTATATATATACTGTGAATGCATTTATTTTCGTAGGGACTAATTTCGTGGATTGAGGAAAAATTATATTTTCATGGATATTGGATCGTGGTTATCCCAATGTCTGCTTACAAGCCTATGGAAAATATATACTTTGTTGAAAACTTAAATTCGTGGTTGACATAAACCAACGAAATCAGCGAAAATTGGTACCCAACATATAATAATGAATCTACAGTAAGTGATTAAAATTAACCAAGCACATTTTTACCTATCTAAATCAGAATCTACATTTGTTCTAGTTTCCATCTGTTTAGCTGTTTTATGGTCTGTGTCCATCATTTTAGTTTCTGCTTTTTGCTCTAACTGTATTGCTTCAAATTTTCTTGAAAACAAAAAATATTTTCTTAAAAAATAAACAATCAAGCTTCCAGTTAAAACAATGTTTGTTTAAAATTTTAAATCACATTATCCTTTTTGATATATTTTCCACTTTTAAATTTTTTGGATCAGTTTTAAATAAGCCAGTCCTTTCATCCCAACAGTATAAATAAAAGAACAATAATATCTTAAATCCCTTTTACAGTTAATTTATTTAGGATCATGTTGTGAAACAAAAGTATGTGACCATGCATAATAAAATGACAAGCCTTTACTTTTGTAACTGTTCTAAACCAGGATCAGAAGGGGGTATCATCAGATCCAATAATGCCACAGTCTCTTTATCTTTCTCATACTGAAAAGAACAGAGAGAAATATATATGTTAAAATAACATGTTTTTATAGATTCCTTTTTACCCTATTAAAAAAGTTCATCCATTTATTGACCAATAAAATATGATTTTGGCATTTGAAGTTTCTCAATACTTTTTTCAAAACATTAAAATTCAGACCAATGAAGGCTGCATGATCTCTCAAATAAAATGTGTAAAAAAGTGTAGAGGACAATCAAGTGTTCTGCATAAGTCAGATCTGTCTTGATCTTTACAAATTCTCAAGGTGGTCACTGATGACCTTAGCACAACCATCAGGATAGAGAACAGGTATAAATTGCAATTCCTTTGACATATAGGTATTTCAAAAGTAATTCCTTGGTTTTTGTCTCATGTACATCCAAGTTCAAATAAGTGTGTTCTACCAAACCCTCCTATGAACAATATTTACCTCAAACTTCAGTTTAGGACCATTAGGATCTATAACTGAAGCTAAAGTTTCTGCTAAAACCATTCCTTGTTTTCTGATCTTGTGTTCTGAGTTTCCTATGTGGGCTTGTACACCAGGCATGATAAGTCTTATCAATTCTAAAAATTGTTTTAAATTCATTCAATAAAATACACAAAATATACTAAAGATCCTTTTCTACAATTTGGAAATAAGCACTTTAAATTATCAATTAATTTTAAAAAGTGCAAAACTGTATATTTCTTAAGTCTAGTTTCAATGAAACTATGACAAAAGTAAATCTGATACATTATCAATATAGCTATTAAAGACAAGAAAAACTAGATACTATACTTTGTAAATATCTGACAATACATGTATACATTATCCTTATTATTAAGACACAATTAAAACTAACAGTCAACAGACTGCATGAATGTCATATATTCTAAAACCTTTTCCTTCAACTATTCCATTTTTTATTATCTTTCTTATAATTTTTATTACAAACTATGTGTGTAACACTGGTTTGATTCCGCCAGTGTACTTTATCCGGAGGAAGAAAATCCCCAGTGATTTTTATCCACCAACAAAAATTCACTAGGTTTTTCTATCCGGGTCCAGTGTAAAACATCCACCAGTCATTATAAGGTTCTAAAAAGGGTTTTTTGAAGGGGAAACATATATAAAATGTGGCTTTATAGTTTTTAGTGTATTTGAAACTTGCATAAATGATTTATGTAAAAAGTGGAGAGTTTTCATCCAAGGAATGTTCACACTAGTGTTTTTAAACAAGGAATGATTACACTAGTGATTTTGTACCGGAATGATTGCACTAGTTATTTTATACTGGGATTAATTACACTAGTGCTTTAGATCCATACATTGATGAAGTGATTAGTACTCATTTTCAACACACGATAATACAATAATGCTTATTAAAGAATAAGATTTAAATAATTTTTCTATGCAAATCTTTAAAATCATATGCTTTTAAATTGTCACTAATTGTAATATTTATATTTATTGGATTGTCGAAATTGTTCTGTGTATTTGCTTTTCGGTCGACTTCTATAATTGAAACTTTATGTAAGAACAAATCTGCTCTTTAAATTTGGTTTATATCAAGTTCAATGTCCTGATCATTGATAAATTATTTTGAGTTATAAAAACATCCTCCTCATCATCATCAATATTATTTATAATTACTAGATTGACTCAGGTTAATTAAACTAGTTCCTTGAAAATCATTTAAATTTTAACCCATTTATTTATGTAAACAATAAACTGGTATAATATAAACAAAACAACTATATCAAGATCGACGCTTTCACACTATTTACATCCAATATTCTCTAGTGAAAAACAGTTACCCGAAATATATACACGGCGGAATGAAAGTACGCTTACAATTGTACCCTCTTTTGCTATTTCAGCTTAAAGTTTTAACTATCAGACCATGTATCTGGGAAAACTTTTATTCAGCATGACCACTGACAGAAAACAAAAAAATCAATTTGACAATAATACCATTATATTTTGTATCTTCTACATTTTCATAAATATAAATAAAATGCTTCGCTGGGGCGCAGCTTGATACGACCGCAGAGGTCGAACCCTGAACAGTTGGGGCAAGTATGGACACAACATTCAAGCTTGATACAGCTCTGAATTTGGATTGTTATTAAATATTTGACACAGCATAGGTTTCTGACACAGAAAGAATGTGGTCTAAGAACTTGAATTTTTTTAATTTACCTATTATGGTCCAATGTCCAAAATCAAAATACATGGTTAGATTCAGCATATCAAAGAACCCCATATATTCAATTTTTGTTAAAATCAAACAAAGTTTAATTTTGGACCCCAACTTGGACAAACTTGAAAACTGGGCCCATAATCAAAAATCTAAACACATGTTTAGATTCAGCATATCAAAGAACCCCAAGAATTCAATTTTTGCTAAAATCAAACTAAGTTTAATTTTGGACCCTTTGGACCTTAATGTAGACCAATTTAAATAAAATGCTCCGCAGGGCGCAGCTTGATACGACCGCAGAGGTCGAACCCTGAACAGTTGGGGCAAGTATGGACACAACATTCAAGCTTGATACAGCTTTGCATTTGGATTGTGATTAAATATTTGACACAGCATAGGTTTCTGACACAGAATGAATGTGGTCTAAGAACTTAAAAATTTTAAATTGGACATTCACCTATTACGGTCCAATATCCAAAATCTAAATATATGTTTAGATTCAGCATATCAAAGAACCCCAAGAATTCAATTTTTGATGAAATCAAACAAAGTTTAATTTTGGACCCTTTTGACCTCAATGTGGACAAAGTTGATAACGGGGCCCAAAAATCAAAAATCTAAATACATGGTTAGATTCAGCATATCAAAGAACCCCATATATTCAATTTTTGTTGAAATCAAACAAAGTTTAATTTTGGACCCCGATTTGGACCAACTTGAAAACTGGACCCATAATCAAAAATCTAAATACATGTTTAGATTCAGCATATCAAAGAACCCAAAGAATTCAATTTTTGTTAAAATCAAAATAAGTTTAATTTTGGACCCTTTGGACCTTAATGTAGACCAATTTGAAAACAGAACCAAAAATTAAGAATCTAAATACACGGTTAGATTCGGCATATCAAAGAACCCCAATAATTCAATTATTGATGAAATCAAACAAAGTTTAATTTTGGACCCTTTGGACCTCAATGTGGACCAATTTAAAAACGGGGCCTAAAATCCAAAAACTAAATACATGGTTAGATTCAGCATATTAAAGAACCCCAAGAATTCAAGAATAAAACCCCATTGAAATTGGTCAAGAAATAAGCAATTTATACGAAGTATCTTCTTTTGCACAATACTGTGCAATTAAATATTTCTTGCTATTGCGCAATACTGTACAATTGACAATTTCTTGCTATTGCGCAATATTGTGCTATTGGATATTTCTTGCTATTGCGCAATACTGTGCAATTGAAGATTTCTTGCTATTGCGCAATACTGTGCAATTGAAGATTTCTTGCTATTGTGCAATACTGTGCAATTGAAAATTTCTTGCTATTGCACAATACTTGTTTGGTGTGTATCTCCTACAATATCATTATTATTTGCTTTTGAATATAAATCAGAAATAACCAACTCAAAATGGAAAATTTTAAAAGAAAAAAAAAAGGAAAAAAAGAAAAAAAAGGAAAAAAAAAAAATCCCCCCCCCAAATTTTTTGAACCCCCTTATGATTCATCACCCCCAAACTCAATCCCAGCCTTCCCTTTGTGGTATGGTACCTTGCAGTACAATTTCAGAGAGATCCATACACTTGAACACAAGTTATTGTCTGGAAACTAGAAAAATGCTTGTTTTTTGCCCCTTTTTGACCCCTAATTCCTAAAATATTGAGGCAATTACCCCCACCATCAATCCCAGCCTTCCCTTTGTGGTATGGTACCTTGCAGTACAATTTCAGAGAGATCCATACACTTGAACACAAGTTATTGTCTGGAAACTAGAAAAATGCTTATTTTTGGCCCCTTTTTGGCCCCCAATTCCTAAACGTTTCGGCAATTAGCCCCAAACTCAATTCCAGCTTTCCCTTTGTGATATGGAACCTTGTAGTACAATTTCAGAAAGATCCATACACTTACACACAAGTTATTGTCATGAAACTAGAAAAATGCTTGTTTTTTTCACCTTTTTTGGCCCCTAATTCCTAAAATTTTGAAGCAATTACCCCCAAAATCAATCCCAGCATTCCTTTTGTGATATGGAACCTTGTGGTACAATGTCAGAGAGATCCATACACTAACACACAAGTTATGTCTGGAAGTTACAAAAATGCTTATTTTTGGCCCCTTTTTGGCCCCTAATTCCTTTACTGTTGGTACCATAACCCCCAAAATCAATCCCCACCTTCCTTTTGTGGTATTGAACCTTGTGGTAAAATTTCATAGAGATCCATTCACTTAAACTAAAGTTAAGAGTGCGAAAACCAATGTGTCTTCGGACGACGACGACGACGACGCCAACGTCATACCAATATACGACCACAAAAATTTTTTTGCGGTCGTATAAAAACGGGACTTAAAATTAAAAATCTAAATACACGGTTAGATTTGGAATATCAAAGAACCCCAATAATTCAATTTTTGATGAAATCAAACAAAGTTTAATTTTGGACCCTTATGACCTCAATATGAACCAATTTGATAGCGGGGCCCACAAATAAAAAATCTAAATTCATGGTTAGATTCAGCATATCAAAGAACCCCATATATTCAATTTTTGTTGAAATCAAAAAAAGTTTAATTTTGGACCCCAACTTGGACCAACTTGAAAACTGGGCCCATAATCAAAAATCTAAACACATGTTTAGATTCAGCATATCAAAGAACCCCAAGAATTCAATTTTTGTTAAAATCAAACAAAGTTTAATTTTGGACCCTTTGGACCTCAATGAAGACCAATTTAAAAAACAGGACCCAAATTAAACATCTAAAAACACGGTTAGATTTGGCATATCAAAGAACCCCAATAATTCAATTTTTGATGAAATCAAACAAAGTTTAATTTTGGACCCTTTTGACCTCAATATGAACCAATTTGATAGCGGGGCCTACAAATAAAAAATCTAAATACATGGTTAGATTCTGCATATCAAAGAACCTCATATATTCAATTTTTGTTGAAATCAAACAAAAGTTTAATTTTGGACCCCAATTTGGACCAACTTGAAAACTGGGCCCATAATCAAAAATCTAAATACATGTTTAGATTCAGCATATCAAAGAACCCCATATATTCAATTTTTGTTGAACTCAAACAAAGTTTAAATACTGGACCCTATCTTGGACCAACTTGAAAACTGGGCCCATAATCAAAAATCTAAACACATGTTTAGATTCAGCATATCAAAGAACCCCAAGAATTCAATTTTTGTTAAAATCAAACTAAGTTTAATTTTGGACCCTTTAGACCTTAATGTAGACCAATTTAAAAAACAGGACCCAAAATTAAAAATCTAAATACACGGTTAGATTTGGAATATCAAAGAGCCCCAATAATTCAATTTTAGATGAAATCAAACAAAGTTTAATTTTGGACCCTTTTGACCTCAATATGAACCAATTTGATAACGGGGTCCACAAATCAAAAATCTAAATACATGGTTAGATTCAGCATATCAAAGAACCCCATATATTCAATTTTTGTTGAAATCAAACAAAGTTTAATTTTGGACCCCAATTTGGACCAACTTGAAAACTGGGCCAAAAATCTAAAATCTAAATACATGTTTAGATTCAGCATATCAAAGAACCTCATATATTCAATTTTTGCTAAAATCAAACAAAGTTTAATTTTTGACCCTTTGGACCTTAATGTAGACCATTTTGAAAACTGGACCCAAAATTAAAAATCTAAATACACTGTTAGATTCGGCAAATAAATAAATGTGATCAAAGATTTTACAAATCTAATGCGCCATACTGTGCAATTAAAGATTACTTCTTGAAATTTTTCAATATTTGAAATTTGAAAAAAAAATAATATTTGAAGAATAATTCTTTTTAATTTCTGAAATCTGAAATGAGAAAAAATTGACCCCCACAATTTCTTTTTATTCCCCCCCCCCTTTTTTCCCCCAAAAAATTCTTTCCCTCAAGATATGGTCATAATCTCAATTCAAATTTCCAATGGAGTTGGCAACCATAATTACACATTTAAATTTACCATAGTGCTAACTTAATCTATTTTATAACAGAATTAAAAATATAGTGTCAAATCTTTCATATGGATTTTTTTGTAAAAAAAAATGATGCAACATTTGCAGATATTTTTACTGGTCTTCCTTTATAAATATGTATTTCTTTAAACATAATTTAAAAGCAGTGTAAGGGAAGTAACCAAAACGTTGTATTTGGATTACCTCCCTTACACTGTTTTAAATTATCTTTATTGTTCATTAACCATTACTTTATACATAATTTAAAAGCAGTGTAAGGGAGATAATTTCAATGATGTATTTGATTTATCTCCCTTACACTGCTTTAAATTATGTTTTGTACTAAAGTATTTGTCCATTAACCAGGACAACCTTGTTTTTCCCCCTTTTTTGCCCCTAATTCCTAAACGGTTTGAGCCATAACCCCCCAAAGCAAATCCTAACCATCCCTTTGTGGTATGGAAACTTGTAGTATAATTTCAGAGAGATCCATACACCGTTCCACTGTTATTGTCTGGAAACTAGAAAATGCTTATTTTTGGCCCTTTTTGGCCCCTAATTCCTTAACTGTTGGTACCATAACCCCCAAAATCAATCCCAACCTTCCTTTTGTGGTATTTAACCTTATGGTAAAATTTCAAAAAAGATCCATTCACTTAAACTAAAGTTAGAGTGCGAAAACCAATGTGTCTTCGGACGACGACGCCGTACGACAACGACGCCAACGTCATACCAATATACGACCACAAAATTTTTTTGCGGTCGTATAAAAACAGTAAATATATAATATTTTATTAAGTTTGGATAATGAAGACAGCTATTCTTTCTTGTAATTACGAACCTACCATCTTTATGATTTTCTTTGTCTTTTTCTGTAAGGAACCCCAAACTTATGAACAAAGCTCTGGTGAGGTACAGATGTTGCTCTGGTGAGGTGTGTCTTATGGCACTATTGTCTCCCCATACACTCAACAATTCCTTAAAGGACTGTAAAATAACATTACATATTTGTCTCTGACAGTGAACTATGGTTGATTAAAAATAAGTAAAACATAATGTTGTGAGCAGAGTTCACATTTATATTGTATAGTGCTACCCATACTCATTATTAATCCTTCATATGAAATCATAAGTCTATTTTTTACTTTGTTAGATATCAATAAGATGAAAAAATATCATCATTCTATCAAGTGTGTAAAAGTGCCTCAGAGAGCATTTTGTAATTTGAAACAATTCCTAAAAATAGCCATCATGGAAGATATTTGAAACAATTGAGAATAACAAGCAGTTGGCCACAAACCACAATTAAATTCCCCTATTAGTTCTTTATAACGTTTTGTTTCATTAAAAAAATTGCACCATGCATTTTTGTCAAATCTTTTGTGTGTGTAATGTATAGTACTAGCCTAAAACTATATCCAAAATTCAGAAAGATTGAACCAATCACTCTTACAAATTTAGCCAATACACATCCATACCCCTATGAACAAGTCAAGAGATGTTCCAAAAACTGTAAATATCACCTTTTTGCACCTGGCCTAATCACTCTTTCATATCAAAATCAGTTAAAATACAACATCTAAAAGTTTATTTCACCTCTCTTCTTTTATTTCCACCCCAAAAAAACTAAGAAATGAGTGAGGAAGGGAAAGAAAAAAAATTAAGAAAAAATACACTCTAATCAAAAGGAACTATATTCGTGGACAACGAAAAGCGGGATCATTAATTGTGGTCTTGGGCCAATTTGAAGTATCAATAATACAGATATACTGAAAATTCAGAAATTATTATGAATCATTTTATTCATGCGACTGGGTGAGTATCGCTATAATAAGAACTCACATTATCATATCTGATACATATATCTGTATGCTTTTTTTACTGAAATCATAATAACTTAGATTGAATTTTGGTTGGTAATGTAAAGAAATTAACGAGTGTCAGAAAAAGCTCTTGAGTCTTTTAAAAACGCAAGGTGTGCTTAAGAGCCATTTACTGTCAAGATAAATACATAATCATGACTGGTTCTATTTTCTCACAATTTATTATGGATTAACAACAGTTTCTTGATAAAATAATCATCAAGGTTCATCATTGATCTGATAACAAGAAAACATTTCTGAATCCCTCTGGAACAGTTTTAAAGCTGCCAGGACAAGTTGTGATGCTAGTACTATTTTATGCTAAGACTTGAAACTTATTACTCCAATGACTGCCATAGAATAAATAGGATGCATGTTTAATATGGGAAATGCCCGATTCTTTAAAAAATAATCATACTGTGTTGAACTAGTGCAAGTTTCTGTGAAGGATAAATATTTTTAAAAATATATTATCATTATGCAACAACTTTTTGTCACAATTTCAAAGACAAAGTTTTGTTTTTGTATGTACATCCTGCAAGATTTTAAAACATACCATCACTGAAAATTAGTAAAATATTATTCAATACATAATGTACCTTTATGAGTAGATGTCTTCTTGTATGTGATGTTCCTAAATAACCCAGTACATTTTGTAAGATATGAATCTGCAGTGAAAAATAGAAATGTCTTTAATGGATCAAGAGTGTACTACATAGTTATGTAAATGAATTTATATTGCTCTAATTCTTACAAACATTTAATTTCCCTGACCGATTATTTTATAATCAACATGTGGTTCACTTGATCTCAGTTCTTCATCGGTTTTTTATTGAATTATGACAAGGACTTCAAATTTTGCAGATCATTGAAAAAGAAAGATGAAGTTTGCCAACATGTTGTTTCATAAACTGTTGAAACAGAGCCTGTATGTAAATTTGACAGTACAAAGCAGATATTGAAATCAAATTGACTATGCAAATTATTCAAAGTCAATGAACCATGACTGAAAGTGCATGGCCAAATAATCTCCATGGAAATGAGAAATGCCAATGCTCATACCACTACCAAATATCAGTGACTTACCATTAGTGTTCCCCTTAAACTGACCTATAAATCACAAACTAGTAGATTGTTGACACTGCCACTGCTCTAAATGATGAACAGATAAAATAATAATACTGACAGATTGAAAATAAGTTTTACATAACTTTTAAACTTTCAAAAAAAGTAACAAGGTGTGAACCTGTGAAACTTTGCTTTGCTTGTTTGTGCTATGCTTTTATTTATGAACATGTTTGCTTATGAAATATAGCTGTCTTACTTTGTATGTCTAATGTGTATGCTTTACATGTCTTAATATTGTATGTGTTGTTATTGTTATTAATGTCAGCAAAAAGCTTATGTTTGTAATGTTTCATGTAAACCCGACTTAAAATAAAATTGTGTCTATTATATTCTATTCTATGACTCATTACCTAGTATGACCTTCAATGTAACATCCTTCATAGGTACAAACCTTTTCAGAGTGTCTAAAGAGCAGTACTTTTGTACACAGCAAGTACTGAATTTTTTGTTTCTTTAAAATGCTGTCACCTAGAAATTTGTCCATTAAACCATACCTGAAATGGAGTTAAACTTCTTAATTAAATCATAACTAGGACTTTCAACAAATTAGTCCTTTGAAATTAGAACACATAGACTCTTCAATGATCAAATATTATGAATTAGTAGCTCAACTTAATTTTCTTGGTGAAATTTCTAAGTTGATTCCTTTTATGGTATACACTTTTAAAGATTTATTGGGTAAATCAATAAGTGTCCTTCAGTCTTTCACATAGAATTTGGAAATTTGTCAAAAATTAAAGTTCTTCATATATTAGAGTAAAAAAACATAGGAAGTCATGGTCAATAACAAAACATTATTTTGAACAAATATTTTTTCCTGATTTTATCTTTTAAAACACATGTTGTTCAAATAAAGCAAAGTTCAAAATTGACAAATTCATCTAGAATATTATTATTTCTCATGACATTTATTTTTGGGAGAAAAGAAAACTTGACAAATAATCCTAGTTATTTCATTCTTAATCTAAAACAAGTACTGATATAAAGATTTTTAGTTTAAATTTTAGCATGTGGTCTATTTTGGCCTAGAGGGCACCTTCAAGCAATGTAAGATAGTCATGTCAACATGTTTGTTCTGCCTAACAGAAGTTCCCCTGGAACCTTTGTTATAAACAATGCCATAATATATGTTCCAGTTGGAACAAATATTCTATACCCTTTATTCCATTAATACTGCAATAGTTGTTCCAGTGGAAATTGTATTACAGAATATTTCTTCCACTTGGAACTTATATTATGAAGGAACTTCTATTTCATGACAGTCAGACACTAACCATGGTAACTTGTCTATCATTGATAATAAAACACTTTCGAGACATCTATCTGGTACCCCAGTGATGATCCTCTCACAGATTCTACACCATATAAAATCTTCTTTTAAAACAGGAGCAAGAGAACCAACCATAACTTCCATCAACATATCTACAAAATAATGTTAAAGTACTTTCTTTGTCTAAACATGAAATAATAAATATAATTTAACCTTAAAAGTGGTAACACTGACCTTTAAGTACAGCAAGGTACCCTGTACTTAGTAGCAGGGTTCATATTCATTTAACATCAATATGATATTGGCCTGATAAACATGTCATATTTGCCATTGGACATTGAACACCAATCCATCCATTTAAGTCACTTCTTAAACTTCTTTTTTAATCAAACTATTAAATCTAATTACGCAAAGAACTCTTATTTGACAGACTTATCTCTTGAATACTAAGAAGTAGATACAGTATTTGAAAATGAATATATGAAGATATATAATTATATAAAGTGTATCAGAACTAACCCCAGATTTAATATTAAAGAATGTTCTTACCAGCATAACCTGTTATACAGAGTTTCCCAATAAGTCGACTTATAAATTCTAGGTGGATATCTTTATTAGCTTTGACCGATGTGACCATATCTTCCAGTACTGTTATAATATCTTTAGTCACCAGTGTTATGTAACATTTAGGGTAAAATAATTCACTGAAATACAGAAGTACATTTCCAAAAAACCAAACAAAAATCCAATTATGATGTTTTACAAAGACATACACATATAATATGATAAATAAAGTTACATTTTTAAACTAAAACATAAAATGGGATAGTCCAGAGTTTGACACACTGTATAAGCACATGTCTATTGTTGAAGGTGGTATATTTACCTCTAGATGTAACCTCATGTTGCTTTGTTTTTCCTTGTCATCAGGTTACTGCCTCATTGACATACCCCTTACATCTTCTTTTATCCATATCATTTTGTATATTAGTTCTTGTTTCCTTAGAGGTTGCTGTCTCAATGACATGTACCCCCACATCTCCTTTTATTTCTATTCACTTTGTATTTGTTTTTTTTCTGTTCCCTTAGAGGTTGCTGTCACATTTACATGTCCCCACAATATCCTTTAATTCATATTCACTTTGTATTTGTTTTTTTCTGTTTCCTTAGAGGTTGCTGTCTCATTGACATGTATACCACATCTCCTTTTATTCCTATTCACTTTGTATTCTGCTTCTTGTTTCCTTTGAGGTTGCTGTCTCATTGACATGTACCCTCTATCTCCTTTTATTCATATTCAACTTTGTATTTTGGTTTTTCTGTTTCCTTAAGAGGTTGCTGTCTCTTTAAATTATGCCCCTATCTCCTTTCATTCCTATTCACTTTGTATTTTGATTTTTCTGTTTCATTAGAGGTTGCTGTCTCATTGAATTATTCACTCACTAATACCGTTTGCTTGGTTTTGTAAGTTTTCCACAAACTCGTTGAATTATGAATCAATCATTGTCAATTGTTACAAGAGTATAGTTCCTACATTAATACAAAAATAAGCCTTGGTTTCTTCATATAAAGCATTAGTAGAAAAAATATGACAGTAATGCATATAACTTAAACTAAACAATGGCAAGCCTACCTATTTTGTGATTGCAGTTTATTTGCTGTTTTATCAGGCAAACTTGTAATAGCATTAATCAACTCATCCCAAACATAAGTCTGTTCCGCTTGACTGGTGACTGAACACTGCTGCTTGAAAATCTTGCACAGAACATGAGAACTGAGAAACTCCTCCAACAGAGATACACATTTATTCAGTCTATAAGATGGTCTGGAATATACATGTACATGTATGTTCTATTGTATCCATTCAAAGGTAAGGGCATATAATAGATCTTTTTTAAAGTGGACACATAGAAATGTCTTGGTCTTGTCAGCATATTAATATATAAATATACAATTAAATCATATTTATATGCATGTATATATACATTGTATATACATGCATATAAATATGATTTAATTATATGCTTTATAGTCAGTTTGAGTTCTACAGTCTGCCAAAAAAATCTAATCAAAAATTTTGTATCATATTGATTTCTTTTGACAATACCTTTTGTCAATTAAAAACTCTTGACAATTAATTCCTGAATTTCTGCTCAAGTACAAATATAATTTAACAGATGTCTATTAGGTCAAATATAAAAGATTCGTTTACAAGGCAAATAACAGATAATGGAATGAATGATTTTTCTGTGACTTTTGGTGACAGCTGCTGGTAGATTTTTGTTCACAATTTTTTACAATGCAATTTAAATTTCAAAGGAGTTCACTTAGTGACTTTTGAATGGATATTATGATCATAAAAAATGTTATCCCTAGCATGCAATGAATTGTGAAATAGACATTTTCTAGAGACCTAACGGGCAACTTTCTTATTGAATTTTAAGTTGTTTTTTTTTTAAATTGTCAGAGTTCATATGATAGCAAGAAAACGAAGGATATAAAATTAGCTACCACACTTTTTAAAACGGATATATAAAACATCTAATTTAACCCTGCTACATGCTCATGTGTCTCAGTGTCAAAACAGATATCTTATTAATGTTGTTAGTGGCTGTCTTTAGTATATCCATACCTACATGTACCATGCCTACCAACTTTTCAAAATCTCCATAGGGGACTTTAAGCGCAAGAGGACCCAATGCTCCTCTTATAGTCATAAGTATTTCTAATCCACTACTGTGTTGTTTGAATGAGTATGTTTGTGTTTAAATACCCTTTAAATCTGAATGGCTGTTTTGAGGTGTTCAGTATGTATAATAAAGAATTTCAAAATTCAGAACAACACCTCTCATGGGGGAAATCCCCCATAAATCGTGAAGGTTGGCAGGTCTTTATATCTTATTGATTTTGTTTTTGTCATTTGAGGAATTTGGAACAGATGGCAGATAATTGATAGTCTCTGTTATATTTATCCATAACTTGTTTAAACTTCAGATTTAAAGCTTACCATATCATGTAGACATCTCTTTATTTTTGAAAACCTAATTTTGAGCTCTTGATGTCATTGGATTGCCATCTTATTGACATATGTGTATACCCCATATCTCCGTTTATTAAGATCTGCCTTATCCAGTATTGCAGCACTAATCGAATTGTATATATTTACCCAAGGCCAACTGCAATGTGAATTTGCATTTTGCTATTTCTAAGACTACACAATGTAAGTAAAATTTTGTGTATTCATGCATACTCACTTCTTGGATTCTTTGATACACAAAAAAATGTGATAATTTTTTCAATCTCTGTCTAATACTGCATCAGGCAAACTTTACCCTCTTACATGTACATAAAATAAATAGCTAACAGAAGTGACCAACTAGAGTCTTCCAGGAGTCATCATTATGGCCCACCTTGATAAACTACCCCTTGAATCCTATCAGGCATATTAATACACATGAAAATAAGAGGTACTGTGATAGAGGTCACAAAATGATACAGCATGGACTCTATATATCTAATTGTAAATGATTTTGTTCATCTCTTCCTTTTTAATAGATTTTTAAATTAGCCCCAATTAACCCTATTTAGCATGTTTAGAAATGTATAACCCTATTGGATTGATACATTGTATAATTTTATTTGTCGTAACCTAAATTATAAAACTAACCCTCAAATCCTATCAAGAACTGCAGTTGAAACTAGATACGTCTGTAAGAAAGGTCACAAAATGATGCAGACTGAACTCTATCATATATACAAATATATGAAGCTGTGTAATTTTATATGTATAATAATTTTCACACATTTACTCAAACTTAAGATATTGTTGAGGTAATTTGAATGATGCCAATACTATATGAATTTGTAATTTTTACCTGTTTTGAAAATTGTATATTTCATAACAAATTTTTATTTCATTTTTTCATATATGTGTGTTTGTTTGATATTTTGTAATTGTTTGTTATATTTCGTTGTATTTCATGAGGGCCTCAGGGAAGATTAGTTTTATAGCTAACTGTGTAACCCTTTTTAAATAAAGAATTATTATTATTATTATATCAAAATGCAAATGATTTTATTCATCTCTACGTTTTAATTTTCAATTTTTTAAAATTCAGCTGAAATTGACCCTTTACAGGACTCTTATATAAGCACTATTGGATTGTCATTATTTTAAGTGTAATTACCTGAATTCATTAATTCCCCATGCTAATGTTAAGAGAGAATCCTTGTAGTTTCCATTCAAAAATAGGAACTGTAAAAAGGCACTCAGTGCATGGACTGATAAATGTTTCGGGGTGTCTGTTGAAATGTTATTAAGAGCACTTTTCAGAACTGACATATAAAAATTTCTTATAAAACATGCTCTTGATTCTGAATAATTTGAAAATGAAAAACATTTGAGTTCTGTTTCATTTTCATATTTTATAAGTTTTTCAATGTCTGCACATATAATTTTAAGATTAGCACTATCGTTGGTGTTTCGAATAGTATTATCAAATTGTTTAACAAACACACGGACTTCATTTGATGCATACATATATGATATGTTTGATAATTGTTTCCTGTGCTTTGCTTTTGAGTATATTTGTTTACAAGTTTTCTACACGTGGAAGCGGTGTGTAGTGTTCATTTACTACCAAGTATTATTAAACGTTACATTTTACACTTTTAGTATCAAAAAGATAGACGATATTACCTTTCAATAATATATTTTTATTAAAACTTCAACCTTTCAAAATTAAAGAACAAACAATTACAAAAACAGTAACAATGGATAGAATCAAATAAAATCAGCACTTCATTTTACACGACAGGAAGTAAAAGAAATTCTTTTGCGCTTGCGTTCTAGACTTAGTAACCGCTCAGTCTGTTGTGCTTCATTGTCAACGTGTTTTTCCTTAAAAAGACCAATTTTCTGCATTAGAAATGGCTGAACAAACCGAAGAAAAGAAAGTTGATACATCAGAGTCAAAGCGTATTCATACATATCCATTGATCAGAGTATGTTAATTTGTTATATTGTTGTGTTGATTTTATATTTGTCTAAATTTTGAATGTACATACCAAAATGATGCTTAAATAAATAACAATATTAATGCACAGGCACTTGTTGCATGAAAACACAGACCACTCTTTTCTTTAATGAGTCAGGTCCTACCTGTTGAGCTGAAGGTTTTTGGGTTTAAAAGTTTTAACTAGTGGATAATTTGTGCTTGTTTAATCTGTTAGTGTTAATCTTCTACTTCTACTTCTACCAATACGCGGCCACCATCAATAAGTTGATTATTTTGCCACTTTTTGGATGCGCATTTAAAATTTAGACGAAAAAAATAAATATTGAATTGATTTGAATTTGTGCTATACATCATATATACAGTGAATTTAAAAACATCTTGGCTTGATCTAGTTCATCTCATGCAGGTAAATGTTAACTTGGAATCCTTTCTATACCTAGCCTGAATAACTAGTCCCTCCCTGTGACGATCATCTATCCCACTCAGGAGGGCCTAAACTCTTAATACAAGAAAAACGCATCAAGAATCCTGATTTTGAGTGGCGTTTGAACATGAGAACCAATTAGCTGGTAGCTTAATGTAATTGAGATAGGTAAATCCAGATCTAAATCCCTGTTTAATTGATGATTTTTCATAGATTAGGCTGTAAGGAATTATAGTTATCTCGTACCATTTTAAATTGTACCAATGTAAACTCGTACCACTAAAAAAATACTCGTACCAATGCAAACTCGTACCACTGCTAACTCGTACCACGGTAAATTCATACCATTGTAAACTCGTACCAACTTATTTAAATGCATTCAAATGGTGTTTTATGATGAATATATACTTTAATTTCACTCAATACCTCTTAAGTCTGTAAAATGTATATAATTTGAAATTACAATGACCAATTTGTAGCTAATTTTCCTTTCCTTGTCTAATTGGATAGAGAAAACCGTGGCAGAATGGCTCTGTTGTCTCCCTTGAATAGACTCTTTTTTAAACTTTTACTGACAACTATTTGATTTAATTTTCATTCCAAATCAGTAACATTGAATAGATTTGGGTATTTTTCTATTGTTTCTAAAAGGAATTTTATTTAAAGAAAGAATTTATTTATTGTGTTTTAAAGGATTAAAATTGTTTATGACCAACAGTCAGAAAGTATGAAATTTATTTTTATACAATATTCAGCACATTTTAGCAGAATACCGACCGTGCAAGGGCTGTATAGCCAGTCAAGGTCGTTAAAAACTTCCATTTGTTGTTAGCAGAAAATGACCATGCTAAAATGATTAAACAAGTTAATTAGTTAATAATCAACCAATAATCACACAATCAAAGGAATTAATTAAGTAATTAAATTCGTATTTTTGTCTAAGTTTTCATTAAAATCTGGTATAAAATTCAGATATTTTAATTTTTTGTATAAAGCTTAAACAAAAATAATCAAAAAACACTGATTCGTATTTTTGTCTAAGTTTTCATTAAAATCTAGTATAAAATTCAAGTAATTCAACTTTTTTTATTTAGTTTACCCAAAAAAAAATTATAAAACATTCGTATTTTTTAATATACTTTTAATGGTACGAGTTTGCAGTGGTACGAGTTCTGATTGGTACGACTTCCCAGTGGTACGAGTTTACGTTGGTACGAGTTAACTTTTTTGGTACGAGTTTACAATGGTACGAGTTAACTTGCTTCCGGCTGTAAGGCATTAATGTAGTCATCATAGAGCAGCAGAATGTGATGACTGAATCAATCAAGTTATTTGATTATCAGATATCTAGAGATCTTGAAAACTAATTTTTTAGCTCAAAGTCCAAAAACATGATTTGACTTTTCGATACATGATGTAGCCTAATAAAGATTTAAAAAAAAAACATAATACAACATTCTTATCCTCATAGAAACATCAACTCAAATCAAAGGTAGAATGTTGAATGACCTGATGGAGTATGTCTGGAATTCAAGCTGTTCACCCTTAATGATAGTTTGTTTTGTTGAATAAGAACAGTCATTATTTTTATTGTTATTTCCTTGATTTTTGTTTACTATTTTTATGATATCTTTAAGTAAGCAGCTATATACAACAAGTATCCCTCTAATGAGATTTTTTTAACAGCCAGCAAATACAAATGTATATATGCAAAGTGGTAAACTTTTTATTATTATTTTTATTTTTTGTAGCATTCAGACATGAATGATGAAATGAAGACTGAAGCTATGGAATTGTGTGTTACTGCATGTGAAAAATTTTCTAATAATAACGAGGTAATTAGATAAACTTTAATTATTAAGGGCTGGGACAGCAACATTATTTCAAAATTTGTACAGTAAAAAAGTTTACAGGGCATAAAAGTGAGTATCTCATTCCTATACCTTATTAGTCCCCTACCGACGAAGTCGAAGGTAGCTTTAGGTTTGCACTCTGTCCATCTGTCTGTCCGTCCGTCTGTCAGTCCGGCAAATCAGTTTTCCACACTTTTTTTCTTCGTTCTTGAAGATATTGATTTGATATTTGGTATATAGTTTTGCCATGACAAGTTAAAGATCAAGTTCGAATTTTGTTCAGGTTTGATGATTTAGTCCAGAGTTATGGACCATAACTTTGGACCATATCTAATGTTAGAGTACTATGTTAAACCATATTTCTGTACAAAGGGAGATAACTCATTTTTTTAAAGACATTCTTTGGGGTAAATTATTTGAAGATTTTTTTTGGCAGGTTTGTTTGTTATTTTGTATAAACTAATTTTCTGAATGCTATGTATATATTAAAAAAAATTATGAAGTGAAATCCTTTAATTAGAAAATAATCTATTTTTATTAATGTATATTTTACATTACATTGTGTAGATAAAAATTGTTGACATTTTATAGATAAGTTACAAATCTATATTAGTTTGTGACAAATAAAAGAAAAAATATTTGGAACTATTAACATGATTAATTTTATTTGATTACAATTTGAAAATAGAACTATTAATCATATCTAATGTTAAAGTGTTTTCCACACTTTTTTTCATCATGCTTGAAGATATTGATTGATAATATGTATATAGTTTTATCATGACAAGTCATGCAAGTTATACAGATCAAGTTCGAAATTTTGTTTCCGTCTGATAATTTTGTGCAGAGTTATGGTCCTTGGACTTGAAAAATTCACTCATTTAATCAGTTTTCCACACTGTTTTTAGTCATGCTTGAAGATATTGACTTGATATTTTTTTTTTTTTTTTACACCATGATAAGTTATAGAACAAATTAGCTTTTTGTTCCAGTATAATGAATTTTTATCCGGTAGGGGACTATGTATTGCCATGCAATACTCTCAGAACGCTTGTTTTCCATAACAGATCCACTTTAGTCTGTATAATTTGATTTTGCTTTTCAATAATTGGATCATTAACATGATTAAGTTTATGGGGTTTTATATTTTAAATATAGAAAATTTAATGATGCATCAACAATTCTAATTTGTAGATTGAGAAAATCTACCAGTGTGAAAAATTTTCTTTCTCAGAGTCTCTAGTTGAGTGCATTGGAACAAATACCAAGTGTAGTTTCACTCGTCAATAAATGCAATAAATACTTTCAAAAACTTTTTTTTTAAATTCCATATTCCCTTTCCAGCACTAACAATTTTGTATGCTTTATCACATTGTCAGGTAGCCTTTTCCATGTTTTTGCAAATTCTTACAGCATACATGTAGCTGTTTATTCTGATTCTTGTTTTAAATTTGTGGTGAACAATTTTGTTACTATTTAAATAATTCTCTGCTATGCATGTTTTCTGTATTTTTCCAATAATTATAGAAATGTACTAGCTTCTGGGTCATATTTCCATAGGAAATTTTGTATGTAATACCTCACATCCATATTGCCGCAGCCTGTTATTCTTCTATAGGCTAATGTTGGTGATTTTAGTTTTTTAATGCCCCTGCCGTAGGCAACAGGGGCATTAAGTGTTACCCTTGACTGTCCTTATGTCCGTCTTTCTGTCTGTCCCATTTTTTGTTTCGGCACTCTAAAGTTATCTTCATCCAAATTTTATGAAACTCATACACAATGCTAAGAACCAAAACTCGCAGACAGATTTCAAATTTTGGCAGTGAGTCACTTACTGTTCTAGAGTTAAGCTCCTTTATAACTTGGAAAATTGTGAATTTTTTCATTTCCACACTCTAACTTGAGTTTTCCTCATCCAAATTTTCTGAAACTCATACACAATGCTTAGAACCAAAACTAGCAGCCAGAGTTCGAATTTGGGTAGTGAGTCACTTTCGGTTCTAGAGTAATGCCCTTTTATAACTTGGAAAATTGCAATTTTTTTCGTTTCCGCACTCTAACTTAAGTTTGTCTCATCCAAATTTTCTGAAACTCATGCACAATGCTAAGAACAACAACACGCATACAGAGTGTGAATTTGGGTTGTGAGTCATTGACGATTCTAGAGATATGCCTCTTTTTGAATTGGTAAATTGCAAAGCTTGAGCTGGGACATTCGTGATCTCAGACACATTCTTCTTTTATTAATCTCAGAACAGCTTAATTTATTTATATTTTACATGAGGCCAAGACTTTACTAGCATCACTAAATGTGTCCTCACAATGGTCTTATAAAGTTGAAGACAGATTTTTTTCTTTAAGATTCTTAAAAGACCTTAAGGAAGTTTGCTCGTCTTGTTTTTGACTTTTTGTCAGATAATCAGAATCCTCTGGTTTTATCCATGTGGTGCCATTAAAAATTTTGCTCGCTAACCCCTACTTTTCTTTTCATCACTTTATAACATATAGTTTAAAAAGCCATTTTTGAAAATCTTTTCAAATCCTTATTTTTTCATAGTTTTTGAAAGAAAAAAGGTGTCAGTGTTAAATGTATAAAACATCTACAGAGAATCATTTCCCACCAAATTTTCAATGGCATATATCTCAAAAACATGCACAAGCACCTTGCATTTTACTGCTTTTTAGCTCACCTCGCCCAAAGGGCCAAGTGAGCTTTTCTCATCACTTGGCGTGCGTAGTCAGTCCATTTAAATTTTAACTCCATTAGTTGTAGAGTAGTAGACATTGGCGGATCCAGGGGGAGGGGGGTCCCCCTTTTTTTACGATCAATGCTTTTGAAAGGGGACATATGGTTGGAACATCCCTTTTAAAAATGGCTGGATTCGCCCCTGGTAGATCTCCCAAAATACAACCATCTTGTTTGCTGGAAGACAATAGTGTATTTAGCGTCATATGTGTAATTATGAGGGGCCTGATGGGGGGGTCTCATCACGATTCACGAGTTGATTTTTTTGTCAATCACGATTCACAGAAAATAAATTTCCATGATCACGGATCACGAAAATATAAAAAAAAAAATCTGTAGAAAAACGGATCACGATAGCGAAAATGCGCCGATCACGAAGAACGAAAATAACCCATCAGGCCCCTCAATTATGTGTTCTCTTATGGTTTTAATATTGATTTACTATAGGAATCAGTACCTTTTATTACAACAGGAGAAAATCTTTTCAAAAAGCAACGTGAAATATTACAAAAACAAATCTGTTAACTTCATGTTCATCTAATACCGTCTTTTTGTGGCTTTGCATAAATCACATATGGCACACTTAGAAAAGAGTTGGTCTTTTCTTCAATAAAAAAATGACAAACAAATCTGTTTGATGACATGTTTCTTTTGTTTGACAGACTGCAGCAAGAATGATCAAAGAAACAATGGACAAGAAATTTGGTGCTTCATGGCATGCAGTGGTTGGTGAAGGATTTGGTTTTGAAATCACACATGAAGTTAAAAACTTATTATACATGTTTTTTGGTGGAAATATGGCCATCATAATATGGAAATGTTCGTAGAAAATAATCTTTGATACTGAATTGTAAATAAGTATATACAGAATGAGAGAACTGGATGTGTGATATCAGTTGTGATATTATATGTTTGTTATAAACGTTTTAAACCACATTCCATCATTATCAATTAAATAGGCAATATCAGTGTTGATATGTCATGCCAAACTAGGACATTTTATTTTGTGGATATACCATGAAAAAGAAATGATGAAGATTTCAGTCTACCTGAAATATATAGACGATGAAGCATTTTTAAATTGATCTGGTCTTTTTAAGTTAAATTATATTCCATACACTAGTTCTTTGCCTGTTATTTTCAAGCTGTGATAAAAGTTGTCAGAAATACACATTTCATGTAGTTGTTATTTTACTGCATTTGTCATGATACATGTACATTTACCTGATTTCAGATCTGTAAACATTATTTTATTCAATTGTACATGATAAAACTTTTTTTATTCTAATTTATAAAATATGAAACTTCCTTTGCCTTTATTATTGTTGTATCTAAATAAAAAAAAATGTATATTGCCACTAAAATTACAATGTAGAATGATATCTAATATTGCCAGATGACAGATCATTTACATGTAGTAATCCAATATGATTTGACTCAGGCTTTACTAGCATATTAGATTATTTAAATGGTAAATATATTGAATATGCAAATTTCCTATTTCTTATGGGGAAAAATGTTAAGAAGATGATGTGGTTAAACTCTTAATTGCTTGGGGCTATGTTCTCCCCAGGGCCTAATTTAGCACCATGGTTCTATCGTGCTATCTGGAAAGATTGCAATATAAAAATAGTGCTCTAATTAAGAGGGAAATGCACTTTTTCAAATTTCATGATGCTATTTCCTTACATATAAAAGATAGAAGATAACAAGACGGCAAACAAAACATCAGAAGTCAAATAAAAATGGACAACACCATATGACAAAAACCCCAAAGAAATGACAAACAACAATTAAAATAAAACAATACACAGAAAACTAAAGATGAACCCCAAAAATAAGGGATAACTCAGGTTCTCAAGAAGGGGTAAGCAGTTCCTGCTATACTAATGGCACTTATCATGGTACTGCAAAAAATACAGTCATAAGTGGCATTTTGTAGTGTCACCCTTGAAGAAAACAGGATTGGATTGTGGTTACAATAAGTGATTATATCTTGTCATCTGTAACTAAGATATTCCATAAAACTTTCAAAGGTATGACTTCAACTTTACCATTTGGAACCTTTGATGCAATAGATTCCTTGTAAGAAGTAACTCTACCAAGGAAATCCTGATAAGAAATTCAGTATCAACTAGAACCTGTAATCCAGTAGTTTTCGTTGGTAGCTGTATGCCATATATATAAATATGAGAAGATGTGGTATGATTGCAAATGAGACAACTCCCCACAAGAGACCAAATGACACAGAAATTAACAAATATAGGTCACCGTACAGTCTTCAACCGTGAGTAAAACCCATACCGCATAGTCAGCTATAAAAGGCCCGAAATGACAAATGTAAAACAAAATAATAAACGAAAAACAAATATGATTTTTTTTTTTGTTCACTGTTGTTATTCAAATCAGGCTGTTGGTTTTCTCTTTTGTAATGTTTTACATTTTGTTATTCATTAGCTTTTACCAGCTTTTCTATACAGTGTGGGTTTTGTTCATTGTTGAAAGCCGTGATTGTTCATATTCATATGTTTCCTTTAGTTTTAAGCTCACCTGTCCCTGTGATCTGTGAACATTTGCCATCAATTATTGTCATTCATCCGTAAACTTTTTTTTAAAACTTCTCTGAAACTGCTCAATGGATTGAAACCCAAGTTTGTCTACTTCATTTAAAGGATGTCAACTACTTAGATTGTAACTTTTGTCCAGGTTGGGCAACCAACATGGCTGCCCTGTCTAAAAATAGAACATAGAGGTAAACTACAGTTTAGACTAATACTTCTAACACTATAGCAGTTAGAGAAAAAATAAAAGGATAACAATTATAATCACTGCAGATTCTGAGTATCCTGAAAATTGAAAAATCTGCCTACCTGTTTTGGAGTTATTGCCCCTTAAATGTTGATTTTTAATTTTTTTCGCATTTCCTTGCCATTGTTTCAAAAACTGAAGGAGTTTGGTTAAAAGTATAATTGCAAAAATGATCAGCATGGCATGATGTATTCATCCTAAACATTTGAGGTAAATCTAGTTTCCAGTTTTTGAGTGAGCTTTTCTCATCACTTGGCGTCAGTCATCTGTCGTCGTCCGTTAACTTTTACAAAAATCTTCTCCTCTGAAACTACTGGGCCAAATTTAACCAAACTTGGCCACAATCATCGTTAGGGTATCTAGTTTAAAAATGTGTCCGATGACCCTGCCTGCCAACCAACATGGCTGACATGGCTAAAAATAGGGGTAAAATGCAGTTTTTGGCTTATATCTCTGAAACTAAAGCATTTAGAGCAATTCTGACATGGGGTAGAAATGTTTATCAGTTGAGATCTATCCTCCCTGGAATTTTCAGACGAATCAGACAACCCGTTGTTGGGTTGCTGCCCCTTAATTGGTAATTTTTAAGGATATTTTGCAGTTTTTATACGCCCGGGATGTATTATGGTATACAAATGTCGTCTGTCCCGCATAAACATGTCGCACCGTAACTTGAGAACGACTTATCCAAATTTCATGAAACTTAACATAGTTGTTTCTTATGATGGTCAAACGATCTGTATACTTTTTGGTGAAAATAAGATTAAAACTTTTTGAGTTACTGGACTTAGTAACTAAAACAGGTGTGTGGTTTTTGTCTTGCCTTGACGGAGTCAAAAAGCGAGACATAGGTATGCTGTTTCCGGCATTGGCGGCGGCAGTGTCAATAATGTATTAGTTTGTGATTAGGTCTAGTTCATGGTGAACCACTAGTGGTAGGTCAATGATATTTGGTATGCAGTTGTATCAGCATTGGCACATTTCATTACCATGGAGATTATTTGGCCCCTCCCCCTCAGTCAAGGTCTATTGACTTCGAAACTTTTCATAGTTTACATGTATTAGTTTGTGATTAGGTCAGTTTATGGGGAACCAATAGTGGTAGGTCAATGATATTTGGTATGCAGTTGTATAAGCATTGGCATATCTCATTTCCATGGAGTTTATTTGGCTCCGCCCCCTTAGTCATGGTCTATAGACTGAAAATTTTGCTAAGTTAACATGTATTAGTTTGTGATTAGGTCAGTTCAAGGGGAACCATTAGTGGTAGGCCAATGTTAATTGGTGTTCAGTTGTATAAGCATTAGCACATCTCATTTCCATGGAGAATGTTTGGCCCCGCCCCCTCAGTCATGGTCTATTGACTTTGAAACTTTTGCTTACTTTACATGTATTAGTCAGTTTAAGATGATTTGCTAATGTTAAGTCAATGATATTTGGTATGCAAATTTATTGGCATTTGCAAGTATCGTTTCTATGGAGATTATATAGCCCCACCCCTGATCATGGTTCATTGACTTTGAAACTTTTACATAGTTTACAAGTTAATGTTTGTGTTTAGGTTTGTTTAAAGGGAATGACTTATAATAAGTCAATGGTATTTGGTATGCAGTTGTATTAGCATTGGCACATCTCATTCCATGGAGATTGTTTAGCCATGTACCTTCAGTCATGGTTCATCGACTTTGAATATTTGCATAACTTACATATTAAAGTATTGCTATTTTAATTTCAACATTTGCATTATCAAAATTACAAAAAGACGAGACATATCTCTGTGATAACAGTTTATTTTCACATGTCGCGTCATATCTCTAAAACAATTTATGATTATTGCTTAAAACTTTACACACTTCTTAGTTATATTAATCTTAAGATCTGTATACTTTTTGGTGATGATTCAAAATTTTATTTTTGAGTTATTGAGTATTTTGTAAAAAAGGGGGAGGGGTTTTTCACATGTCGCGCCTTATCTCAAAAACAATTTATGATTATTGCTTAAAATTTTACACACTTCTTAGTTATATTAATCTAAAGATCTGTATACTTTTTGGTTTTGATTTAAAATTTTATTTTAGAGATATTTAGTTTTTTGTAAAAAAAAAAGGGGGGTTTTCGCATGTAGCGCCGTATGTCCGAAACTATTTATGATAATTGCATAAAAATTCACACACAAGACGACGGGCGTATCATGAGCTCATGACGCAGCTGTTTATTGGTTATTATCTGGAATATTATAATAGATAGAAATAAACTGTAAACAGCAATAATGTTCAGAAAAGTAAGATCAAATCATTTATTTCAAAATTTAATACTATAAGGTATGGGGAAAATCTGGATTCAGAACATTTTTGTTGTCATCTGCTTGACCACAATATTAAATATTTCGTGGAAGGGCAGACTAAAAAATTTCAGAGGTTGAAGACTAATTAGATAACACACATAAACATGAAGTTTTTTTGAAGTTATGCATTCATGTACAAGAATTGTGGACACTTTTGAGGGAGATAACTCAAATTAAGAAATAATTCTTTTGAACTGGGTTTCTAATCTCCTTGACTCATCTGGTGTCCAGTTCGCAAGATAAGACAACTCTCGATATGTGTCGCGATGGTCTATATATGATCATATATGTGTTAATTGAATAATCAGTGGAAATCGTTTAACATGTTAACTATCAGCAAGGATTTATATAGTTTTAAATCCTTGCTATCAGCAAGACACTTGGTTTTAAAGGGAAAGAAAAATATTATTAAAATATGCAATTCCTTGGGCTGTAGTAGAAAGAATTCACGACTAACTATGTCAAAAAAAGTTCATAGTTTAATTTTCATTTGTGAATATAATAACAAAATAAATCGGAAAAAAGGTATTTACTATTTGTTTTATACGCCTCTGAAACCGTAAAGATTGACTTTACAATGTTATGAGGTCATAAATAAAGGTAATTTTTCACAGTCCTGAGTTGCAAGTAAATGGCACAAAGTCACACGCCTGACCGTCACACAATTAATAGGACAAAAATTCAAAATTAAATAGTATAACTGTTTACTATCGTTTGCATATATTAGAGAAGCTTAAATTATTAAAGTACTTTATTTTTATCACATAAATTCATGATACAGCTTGGGATTGTATGAGGGTTCTTTGAATTTTAGACATAAACAAAATATGTCTATCCAAAAAAATTTTGTAATCACATAGCCCGGTAAGCAGAAAGGCAAAATAGATTTTCAAAAATATTTAATATGCACTCATGTGGGACGGTCATTTTTATATAGACACCAATAGGAGGCGAATTGGAACTTAGACGATTAACTGTGAAAAAAGGGCATATGATAGCAAATTTTCGGTACCAAAAATAAGATGTATGGTATAACCTTAAACAAACCAGAGTTAAGTTCTTTTCTAGAACTTGTCTTTTTGTATTTTCTTTTATGCACGTTCTGTTAATCTATACTGAGATTCAAAAGGGGAAGGGTTTAGACCTACAAAAGTAA